AATCCCTAACGTTCTGTGATTCTGCGATTCAAAGCTGAAGGAAGGATGACTGTTAGTGCCGATTTGTCTGAAATCTCACCAGAGCAGCCCTTCCTCCAGCCTCTGAAACCAGCAGTGAAATATGATTAAAGCAGTAATGGTTCATGAGATTTTAATGTTCTCAAAGCTAGACCAGAGCCACAGCCCTGATGCTGATCTAAATCCAAATGCTACCTGTGCCAGGATGAAAGCTATCCTGCAGTTACAGCACGCCTTGCTAGCTTGGGCTAGCTGTAAAGTAGCCAGCTCAGGTGCTGGTAGCCACAAAAGTTTGGTGGGAGATTCAAATTCTGCCTGGGAAAGGGGAAAAAAATTAAACCATGCCAAGGTAAGCTGCTGTGCCTAACTAGCTCTGATGCCTAAGGAACCGAATTTCAGGCTAGCTCAGCTGCATCACCAGAGACTGCGGTACAGACATACACTCAGGCCAAGTACTTTAATATAGAAAGTGCACAGTTTATCACATCCTTTTTTATCACATCCTTTTTTAGTGTGAAAAAAAATAAATGCCACTAACACATTTCCTATATTACCTGCATTGCTGTTCTTAATTATGTTGTTACTGTCCCCCTCTGCTGGTTGCAATATACTGGAAGGAACCCAGTCGCTTTTCTCAGAGACCAGTTTCTTCACCAACCTGAAATTCAGAGAACAGTCAGTGAAATTCTCTACATTCTCTTTCCCTGGGTTGTGTTTCTTACAGATGTAGGTTGGGCAGCTAATTCCTAAACTACAGAAGAAGGCAGAGGGCCCAGGGAAGTCCTACAGATAGCTAATGGCTACGTTTCAGCAGTGTCAGATGGTGACCCAGTATTCCAGAACAAGCTCACTTGTGAGCACTATGTGACAAGGAAACTGTGGCCTTTGCCTGTGTTTGAGACCCTGGGCCAAACTCAGAGCTGAAAAGACTGTTGTCCATCCCCCTTGCTGTAAATATCATTCGGGGAGGTGGTTTTAGTTCACTTCCCACCTACTTCGTCCTATGGGACTTGCTCCCATCTCAGTTGCATGCAAGTTCAGAGTGAAGTGTCTGACTGCACAGGTGCTTCAAGAAGTTCAGATAATCTTCCTCCAAATTACCCATGGAAAGAGAATTTAGATGCTCAGCCAAGTCTATTTCTAACACTTACTTGTCAACAAGAGAAAATAAATACACCAAAACATGTGTGAGCTCAAGGGAAGCAGATTCATTCCATTTGGTCAATCACATCTTATAGCTAAGCCTTTGGTGCTAAAAATGCTCTCTGGCTCACTGCTGCAGCTTGGTGGAAGGCACTGGGATTTTATGCAAGTATCCTATGGGAGGGTACTACCTTTGACAGTTGTCCTTCTGGCCAGAAGGTGTCCAAAGCTCAAATATTCCTCTCTGTTTCCTTGATGCAAACTTCTGTCCTCTTAAGCCTTATGTCACGAGCATTTGGGATGAACACCAACTAGGTGGAATTAACCAAAGCTGCTTGTATGTTCATGCCTCCCACTGCCTCTTTCACATTGTGGTCAATGGGATGGGTGGATTTGGACAGTTTTGAAGAGGCTTTGACATTCTTCTGAACATTTTCCATTTCTCCCAGGAGGTTATGACTGTTCTACCTGTCAAATTATACCCATTTCTCTGCTGAACTTACCATTGACCGTTTTCTCCTTCCTGCACAAACTGCACTAAATCTCCATCCTCAAGTGTAAGAGAATCCGGGAAACAGCTGTCAAAACTGCCTTCTACCCGAAAAAGATTGGTCCCCTAAAACAAATGAAATGATGCACCAGAAATACAGTCACTATGGATGAAAGAACACTGTGCAAGAGAGATCAAGTTTAGTTAAATACTGAATTAGGCATTTCAAGCTGGCAGAGATTTATTCTGTAGGGAATTGTGCCTCTTTTTATTCCTTTTCTCATGCCCAGGTTAAATATTATTCAAATTTAGGGCAGAACTGTGCTGTGAATTTAGGCTTTAGAATTACCCAGCCAGCCATTATTCTGATATAGAAATTCAGTTCATGACACCAGGTTAATTTATCTGGAAAAGTCTGAAATGACTTTTTTTAAAGGCTCGGATTTTCCCCCCAATTCTGTAACTTACCTATACAGGTAAAGCTACAGCTTACAAGTAGGGGTGACTTTTTATGGTCCTGATCAACAAAAAAGTATTGGAATAATGCCTCAACACTCCAGATCAAATTCCCATTTTCTGTCTTCCCACACATCCACGAATTTAAGGCTTGTACAAACCCAAAGCTTGCAGGTTGAATTGTGATCTTTAGAGGAGAGGAGGCTGCACTGGGAAAGGGCAGTGTAATTTGAAAAAGGAATTACATTGTTAGGGTTGGTCTCTTCCTCCAAGTCAGAAGAGTTGGAGAGTTCATCTGTGCTGGAGGGGATGGCTTCGAAATCTTCAAATGTGTCTAGAGATGGCATTTGCCTGCTAGGCCAACCTTTTCAAAGAGATAAAACAAAGAGAGTCAGATATCAGTCATTAGCCTCTTTCAGACTCAGCCTTTTAAAAATAAATGCCACAGGTTCCCTTTCCACTATTCCACTTACTGAATTTCTTTTACCTTTATACAGTTTGTTCCCTGATTTTGCCATAAAAATTAAATTGCAGTCATTATTGTCTCTCTAAAAACTTGTACCACTTGCTGCCATTTGAGGGAGAGCACATTGTGTGGCCATGGTGACCATGTCTGTCAATACCTTGAGCATTTAGCATTGCTAAATCTCTTCCCTTCAGGAGGTACAAAAAGCAAGGACCAGGAACATTTCTGCTGTAGCGAGCACTGTTTGCTGACATGATATTCAGAAGACCATGCTCATTCAGTTTCCAGCTTACCTCAACACATTTATCTATAAATTGAAGTCCAAAGCCATTGAATTTTGGTTGACTTCTTATCTCCATCCACCCTAAGTTGTTATTACCACTTGAGCAATTTACAAGACTGTACCCTGGAGGAGGTTGGAAGTGCAGGGAAGACACAGTAAACAACAAAGCACAAAGACAACCAGACTTTTGGTGGAAGGTAGAGAAGATCTCATTCATATTTCTACATTTAGCAGTCTTTCTCATGATTTGCACCCAAAAAACACTCCAGCCCAGCAGAAGGCACCTAAAGAGAGAGTTCCAGCCCAAATACAGATACAACCAGCCTGGAGTCAGGCAAATCACCATGTGCCTTCCTACTTAATGAACCTGCTGTGCATTAGCTGATTCACAGGGACTTGGTCTGAGCAGATACTGAATCAAGCTCTTTACAGCCTGTGGGTCATCGCTCTCAACAAGGCAAAGTGGTGCTCTAACAGCAAGGCACAGAGCCAGATGCTCATACAGTGGGATTATGCAAAACCCAACACTCATAATGTAAAACAAAACCTGGCCTGAGACAATACAAAAACCAAGACAGGCAGTTCAGGGAGTAAACAGAAAAGCAATCTGATCTGGGAGAAATAGGTTTATTAATCGATTTATTTAATACCTCCCCATGCACATCCTCCCGGCAACTGGCACTGGTTGGTGCAGCATGTGGTCATGCCACTCTGCAGCCCCTTCTCCACCCTCCTCTTACACCAGGGCTGTGACCACCCTGACCACTGCAATTCAGTTACAAGAGAGACTTCTTCACCAGAGCAGCATCCCCAGTTACAACCCTAAAGGTATGGCTAGGTCATCCATGCTTTCCAAGGTGTAAACTAGCCTCTGAAGCAGCATTCAAGTGCTGTGTTGTGAGTGTCCCTGCCAAGGTCTATACCAACAGAGTTTTGAGACCGAAAAGAGAATTTCAATTACAGACTGTGAAGAATATAGGACTGGGCCTCATATTCAGCTGAATCACACCAGCAAAATACTAGCAGCTGTCTAAATGTACAAGAATACATAGATACTAATTAGCTTTAAACTGCTATAGCAGTAAATTTAGTTCAAATTTAGTTCACACATTGGGCTATGAACACCAAAAGAAAAAGAGCCCCCTTCCTGCTTAGACAAAGCTTCAGTGCTCTTCTGCCACTGTCAGTTACAGAAAGCATACAAGGCAGAAACCTAAACAGCAAAGATCTCTTACAAACACATGCATCAGCCTTCTTCTTCCGTACAAATTGCTATTCTAATTTCTAAGACTAAGGCTAAGTAGGCTAAGTAACTTAGACTAAATAGGCTAAGTTTTATGTACTTAATTCAAGCTATAAAATAACATAGATCAAATTCTGAGCTCTCTGATATCAATTAAAAGAATTCTTTTCAGTTATGCCTGACCTACAGAAAACCAGAGTCTGGGATATTGTTTCTATACCTGCTAGTGAGCCAAGCTTGTTCTTTCATTGCTTTCATGGGAAATAATGTTCATTAAAAGAAAAATCTCTTTAAGATAAAGAGAGTAATATTATAATAAATTTATATTACACTCTCAAATTGAGATTATAAATGTTTTAATTTTGTTTACCTGTCTGTGAAGCAGATCTAGGTACAGGTCTCGTGGTGGAACCGGTATTACATTTAGTCTGGGCCAATATGGTGTTCTCAAAAGCATCTGTGACAGGAAGTACAATTTTGTGTCTTCAGGGTGAAATAGAGACCAGACAACCAGTACAAAGTGACTTCCTGTATCACTTCACAACTGGTAGTCTCTTTAACAAAGAGGTGGACTGAGGCCCAACAGTTATAAAAGAGGAGACACATGACCAGCACAAATGAGTGAAAAGACAGCAGCATTCCACAGAAAAACTGTAAGTCTGAGAAGGACAGAGAACAGTGAAATTAATCAAACAGAAATATTGGTGTTAATTAAGGAAAATGATTGCTGGGTGAACAGTGCAGTGTTCTATTTCACTACAGCTTCCTTACACACTTCGAACATACTTTCCTTGCAGCATTTCAAATCATTCTCTAAGTGATGGTATACGGTTTTGATGCCAATCTGTATAGCAATGAAAGGGGACCAGGGAGGCTCTTCTTCCCAGCTAGAAATGAACTATTTCACTCTTGATAAATGCAATGCAATTTTATAGGGGAAGCTTTTACCTAAGTACATGAAATCCTTTGTGTTGTTAAATCTGTCAGAGCTCTAGCAGTAGCAGCAATATCTTCTGATAAAGGGATGATAATCATGGAATCACCGAATGGCTTGGATTGGAAAAGGCCTTAAAGATCATCCAGTTCCTACCCCCCTGTTACGGGTAGGGACACCTCCCACCAGACCAGGCTGCTCAAAGCCCCATCCAACCTAGCCTTCATTCACAGTTTCCTACTTAGAGAAACTCAGCCTGGTGAGGAATGTTGTGCAGTAGGACCATGTTTTTAACCAGTGAGAATCAACGCAGCTCTATCCTACGGATAGTACTTGAACCTTGAAACACCCCCTGCCTCTGCAGCCACACGGTATGCTGAGATCAGAAATATCTGTTGTCGAGGCAAGTGATGTATAACACCACAGTCTGGGAAACTCTGGTGCTGGGTGCTCATGTAAAGGGGAAAGCTGACAATGGAAGCTGGTGATCTTCCAGTGGCTGGGGAATAACTTCCCAGCTTAACTCTTTGGTATTGTTTATTAAACAGTAATTGATGGATCTGCTGCAACAAATAGGTGGAAATTCTGTTTGGCTGAAATGAAACACTGCACCTTAAATGGATGTAGATGCACAGTCTAGCCTCTTCTGTAGTCTTCATGCACATGGCTTCTCCTCCTCTTATTAGGTATAGACACTAACAAGAGGAGAGGGATGTAAGTGGCCAGACTGCAGATGAAGGTGAAAATGAGCCCCTTGGCTCCCTGCTGCTGCACTCTACAGAGTGAGGTAGAAGCCAGGCAGAAAATCCAGATCCAGAGCATAGTCTAGAGCATTAATCTCCAAAATAGTCAGAGAATTGGGGGTTTAATTTAGGCTCATCCCTAGGTGAAAATTGGTAAATGTAGCTTGAGTGCAGGCGACAGGCAAGGGGGTGACAAGCTGTGTTTAGCGCAGTGAAACAGATAAACTGACACCAAGCCCCTAATAGACTCCAGTGTCAACTGCCAGCAGTGATGAGATGTGAATTCAGTGAATAATATCAAAAGATTGCCAAACAGATTTTCATGCAGGATGAAAATACTCATACCTTCAAACCCCAGGGGAGTTGGGTCACTCTTTATTTCATGTCTCTTGACTTTAACTGCAGGAACAAGGGGACCTGTGTGAAGTTGGCAGAGTCAGGAGGCTGTAAATACTGTTAAAGAAGAAACTTGCTTTCCCATTACCTGGAAACACTACCTGCCTAATACTTTCCATCTCACCCAGAAAAAGGACCAACCTCTAGATTTTAGGTGGTGAAGATAAACACTTCTGTGATGTGGATAGGAAACAGACACCTTTTTGCAAAAGATATTAAGACATACTAAAGTGTATCTGCTCCCAACCAGGTTTCACAGATGTTTTCTGTCACTCCTTTCCAGGAGATGGCACTCACAATCTCAGCTTTCTACCTGTGAGGCTGGCAGGGCAGAGCTCACAAAAGCCAACACTTCTGCCCCATAGAAATGAGGGGCATCCATCACAGGTCCACGTACACTGCTTCTCCTCTGTCCACACTGAACAACAACCCAATGGTTGCCCATTCTCTTTCTACAGATGTGCTTCATTCTGTTCCCCAGCTTAGGAAACAATTCAGTTCTCCCATAACCTAGTAACTGATCATGTGTTTCTGAAGCTGTTGCAGAGGGCAGAAAGCTGTAAGAACCTCTCCTCCTGTGCTATGCCCATCATTTCCATGCAGTGATGTTTTGTTGTGGTCTCAAGAATTTGGCAACGAAACATTGTAGGTAGTGGTAATATCACATCCTTTCTCTGCCAATAAACCCAACCATGCTCTCATTTCATGACAGACTCATTGCACAGTCAAGGATGTTGTTCATATCCTTCACAACTATTTAGAACGCACTGCATACTGTGCAAACGTCTTCCTGACAAATATATAGCCAATATCTTTAATACAAATCAATTCAGCCAGTTTTCCTTCTATTTTTTATTTGTCCTGCAAATCTTAAACTTGCAAATCAGTTTCTCCATTCCAGGAGCTGCCAAAAGACAATATATTCAGAATTCAGTGTAAGCCAGTATGTTCTGTTCTCAGAAGTAACTCTGACATGTAGGCATAGGTGCCTACAGTCCTACTGATTTTCAGCACAACTAGCTTGCCCAAATGCATGTGTTGCTTTTGAGTTTAAACATAGGTACTAGTGCAATAACTTAAAGTAAATTTTGTTGAAGTGCCTTTTCTCAAAATAATTACAGATCAGAAATAAAACTTCCATAGGTTTCCACACAAACTTCATAGAATTCAGTGCATTCTGGGCACATAGCTGCCTTACATATGCCTGAAAATTTCCTTGCAATGATAATTTCCAATCAAAAAGGTGATTGTGCTGAATATTCTTAAAACTGGCATCTATTGCTACTCCATTTTTGGCTTTTTTAATCCTCTGATGTTTGCTACACAACAAGGAGATTCTCTCCTTCTTGAAAGCAAAAATCCTAAACAGCTGTAAGGAAATGGAGAATTAATTTCTATTGAATTTCAGTTAATCCAAACCAAGGAGAAGTTGGAAACCTAACCTCACATCAGCCAAAAATTAATCCAGTTTCCATGGAAACCAGCACCACTCTTTGAAGTCTACTGTGGAGAAATTGAGACGAGTCATTATATATGCTGGCAGCACACCTTGATATACATTTAAAATGTCTTGGCCTGCCTCCCTGCAGGTGTTACACTGGTCCTGACTCTTCTTCTACTGAGACCTCCTGCATTTATAAAAATTGAGCCTGACGTACTCACTCTGTGCACAGCATTTGGCAGTAAATGTATCGGGCAGCAGGAAGGGAGAAGGGCAGCTAAGCAAGCAGCATGACGGTACCTTTGCTCACAGCAGAAGCATTAACTGTGGTGCTGATGGAGGAGGCTAAGGAAAAGCGACGGGTAACTTCTCTTTCCTTAGATTCTGGATCTGGGAGAAGAGATAGATGCAATGCAGGGCAGGATTAGAGGTTAATAAGCACTGAGGGTAAAAGATGTCCAAAGCAAAGCAGCAGCTGGAAACAGGTAAATAAAAGGCAGGTTGCTCCTCTAAAGTAGCCAGGAAAAATACCCTCAACAAAGTGAATAACACAGAAAAAGGGTTTGTACGAACATATTTTCAAAGCAATTCCAATTGCATCAATTTTAATACTTCAGAAGGGAGACTTATGCTAATTAATATTTTAGCAACTAACTGGTGCCTAAGTACAGCAACAAAACACAGAAAGATGAGCACGATGGTTAGAATGATGCATGTGTCTAGAGATGAGGCTTGGATTATTTTAGACACTGAACTGCTTGTTCTGTGATGCTTGACCTGAAATACACTGAAAAACAAACATGAATCATTTGGAGTTCACATTTGTCATGTCTAGAAATTAACTGTGTGAATGCCTGAAATTGTTCTCTGAGCCTCCTTCCTCAGTGGGGCAAATCAGCTTGGAGAAAGTGAAAGCAACAGAGCTTTTTTTTTTGTTTACTCCAATTAGGATCCTGCCTTTTCCTCAAAGTCCGCTCAGGAATGAAGGCACGACTTCCTCTGATTTCACTGCAAGATGTAAGTGGCATTTTTGACTCAAAATATTTCATAAACAGATCAGAAGTATAAATGAACTATCTGCTAGCTTCACAGAGCATGTGATGTTTCAAAACACATTGGGGTCATTACACAGCTCTCAAACTGTGTCTACAAGCACATCAGTACACCTTTTGCACCTACCAACTACAGCAGCACCGCTTGAGAGAACAAGTTGCTTGCTTACAGATATTTCAGGATTAACTTTTTAGTCTCTTCTGCTCTAAGGACATGTGCTGCATTACTGAAGTACTTCCATTGAGATATTCATAGGCTTCATATCTCAGTTTCAGTAAGATACTTGAACACTTAACTCTACCAGGACACAACCTCAGTTGAAAATTGTATTAGAAATGACTTTAAATATTCTGTTGAAGCTTTTCAGAGATGTCAAAAAAACTATCTGTGATTTGCATGTTTTGACTTTTAAAAATATCAAAGAAATATTTAGGTAAAAATTAAATGGTTGATTCTATTTTCACTGAAAAAATTCCTGGAATAGGCGAAGAGTTATAGCACACAAAGCTCTTTAACACATGCTTATGTGCTTTGCTGAATCTTAGCCCAGACATTCCCAGATGGTGCCTGTGATTCAGAGATACCTTTCTATTCCTATTGTCTCCTTTCTTTTACCATGTCTATTTTTTTTTCTCTCCATGTTTAAATGGCAGACAGCACTGGGGTAAATGGCAGACAGCACTTAGGCGATTTTAAATTTCAGGTTTAAGTGACCTGTGCAGTTCTATACTACTGTGAAGATTTCCTTGCTGGGGATCTTAACATTATCTTTCCCATTCCTCATCTTCACTTTCCCTTATTTTAGTGCTCAGTCACAGAACATTTCTCTTTGCTTTGTTTTTTCCATATTTCTGCCTAGTAAATGTCACATTCACTGCATGTTTCCAGTGGAGCATCATTAGCACCATAATGTTTTATTATGTCAGGATATCTGGAAACCATATTATCTCCCTAAAATTTTGACTGTAGATTGGCTACTGTAAAAAAACCTGTAAAATACTGTATCCTCCAATGCAATTCCTTATCAATTTACTCATAAAAGCACACATATTCAAGTACCTCCTTATTCACACCTAAAAGGCTGAAGAAAAATGAGGTTAAACTCTGCTCTCAATGTTTACAACAGAATTCTGACTGCACAGTTCAGCTGCTGTAGCTGCCCTTATTAAACTACAAAGAAAATATCACTTTGTAACTACGGCATTGGGTCACATTTACAGCACATCATGCAGCTCTTGAAGACCCTGTGCCAACTCCAAGGAATATGAGCTTGGCTCTGCAAACCAGGACAGCTGATGCCCACTGAAGGAGGGGAGATGCAGAGTGCTACGAGTGTGGGCCTTTACACACTTTAGTGCCAGTTTAGGTATGGCTGTGCCTTGGGGTCTTTGCACTGATGGAGCATAGGATGGTAAAGTTTCTTCTTCAGATATCAGCATTTATTTGGCCAAAACACTGAGGTGCTTATATACAATGTTTTCTACCCCACCATATCCATGCTCATTGATATCTATCAGGCAATCTTGTTTCCTCCCTCCTCCTTAAACCTTCTCTTTTATGTGTTCTGGACATGAGCAGACACAGTGGGTCTGGACCAAAGTATGCTCAGCTTAGTAGGTAACCTCTTGCCATGGTCAGTGATGAATCATTAGACAAAGGAGTCAAGAGCAGAACAAGCTTACTGCAGGAATTTCACCTTCTCACAGCTTCCCATTAGCCTTAACAGCCAGTCTGTATAATGCTAACACAGCTTTGCATCATCACCTACAGAAATGAGCACACTGCAAACCATCCAGCCCATTTGCCAGCTGGTTTCCTCCAAGCCAGGACCAGATCAGTAACTGAACGGCCCAACAAAGTGAAATGGGACATTGTGTAATGGAGGTGATTCCCAGGAATCTCAAGTAAGTAATTCTCAGCTCCTCGAGCTGACAGTGCCTACAGCTTAGGGGGTATGAACTCTTCTGAGCTGTGCTTTGCTGTCTGGAACATGGAATGACTGAATAAAATGTAAGGCATTTCACATGACAAGAAAAATTCAGATAAAAGAGCAAAAAAGAGAACCAAGCCAAAATTGCAGATCCAGACTCACATGAATTACATCATTATCCTGCATTTCTGAAATCTGTATCTTGTAATTAATTTCCCAAAGTCACAGGATCTGAAAACCACTCCCTTTTTTGTATTCAGAACATTGAACTGGTTTGTCCATCCTGGATCTCACCACCAAGCACAACCTTAACCTTGCAGCCAGAATCTTATGGCTGCACTGGCTCCTGGTGTATTCTCATCTACTTTACAATATTGTGATTTAATGCTTCTGTATTTCTCTTTTTCATCTTGCTGCTTCCTCCTTTGATGCTCACCCTCTCCATTACTGCACCTTAACCCTTTGTCTCACAGCAGAAATATCATTTATCAGAACAGCAGAAAAGCCATATAACAATAAAAAGAGTAATGACGTTATCTTTTCAGGAAATGAATTTGAGTAGTCATTCAATTTCATTTTTATTCATATTTTTCTTTCCTCTAAAGTCTCTTCCTTCTACAGCCATCACAGGAACATGCAATGCTTTCTATTCATGGATGTTAAGTGTCTTCTGAACATTTATGCACAAAAACTCAGAACATACCATTTTACAGGGCCATATAATAGTTAAGTGGAAATGACAATAAACCCCAGATCTTCTGATTTCCATTTCCCCACTAAGCCATGACTGAGCAACATTTGAAAAAACAGAGGTCCAACTTGTGCAGCACAACACAGAGATGACACTCTTCCCTTCAAGCCAGTAAACTGCTGAAAGAAGTTAAGTTGGTGGTTTAAAACAAGCTCACACTTTGGCCCTTAAGAGAAGCTGGAAATAAACATTATTTGCACTGTGCACCAGTGAAACGCCCAACCAGTCAACTCAAAGGTTGCCTTGCCAACACTGCCATGGGAGCAATTTTTGGTAACAGCATCTTTGAGAAGAGGAGCCATACATGTGCATCAGACAGGAGCATTTTGGTGAGATGCGGCAGCACTTTAGGAAATAGTGATGGATGGCACTATGGGATGGAGAGAACATTGTGGGAGTGCAGGAGACGGATGGCCAGAGACCAAATGCTGCATGGGGTGATTTTACCTTTGGGTGGAGCTCTGCGGTTGGAAAGACCTTGCAATGTGAATCGCTTTCTAGCAAGCGCTGTGCGCTCAAGGTTAAGGCTGGTGGAAGCATCAACTAGGAGAAAGAGGGAGAGGGAAGAGAAATAAGGAAGGAAGGGTCAGCTGTTCAGCTTATGGGAAAGGAAAGGTTAGCACTGGATGACAACTAAAAATAAATAAATAAATAGATTTTGATTCAGTTCAAGCCTGAGCAAGAGCTAATCAATTAGAAAGGTGGCATGAGGTCAGGGTGATTAAACCAGCTGAGCCAAACAGCTGATCCCCTGGGCTGATTTTGGCTCACTGAGTTTTAATGGAGAACAACAACAAAACAAAACCAAAGAAAAACAGGTGAAGGGATGTAGCTCTCAAAGGAAAATAAAGTTTAGCAGCAAGCTCATTAAAAAGGATCTAGTGCCTTTTACTACGCAAACACATCATTGTGGTTGGAACAGCAAGGTTGTAGGGAGAAATAAGAGTAGAAGCCTTGCAGTGCAGGACACATACAGACAGCAAGTGCTGTGAGCAATCCCACTTCTGCTATCCAGTGCTAGCACTAAAAGGTCTGCCATCATCAGCCCCATAGCTGATAAGCTCCAGCCTTACCTGGTGAAGTCTTTCTAACAGCCCCCAAAGCTGGCATATAGCCATGCAATCGATCTCATGATCTGCTGGGATGTAAGGAGTGCCATGCCAGCAAAGCTCACTTGCCAGGCTCCTACGTGAATAAGCCAGCCATGCTGCCTGACAGTTGCCTTTACAGAGATAAGTCAGATGGATCTAGGTCCTGAGACTCCAGGTTTGGAAGATACTCAGTTACTTGCATTGCAGGAAAGAGGTGGACCTAGGTCAAACCCCCAGATTCACGTATTCCTGCCAAATTCTGCATCTGCTCCTTTCTTTGTGTGGGCAGGTAGCACACAGAAGGCTTACGGCGAAGGAGCAGGAAAAAGCCATGTGTTGGCTGCCTGGTTCTGTGCCTTAGGATTTAACCACTAGCTTTCTCCTCCTCTTCATTTCATATGCTGCCAAGTGAAAATCATTAAAGGCACAAATGAAGACCAAAAGTACAAAGGGAGCATGAAGAGACAGTGAATTCACACTTGACGAACGAGCAACAGACAGACAAGCTGTGCTTCCAAAGGAAAGCGCATCCCATCACTTCCTGATTTGCAGCCAAGATAATCCAAGGTCCAAGGTGCCTGCATGCATAGGTGGGTGTGAGAGGAACAGATTTTAACAACACAGAAGTATTATGCCACTGTGTTTCAACTCCTTCCAGCCGGTGGCCTGATGCCAGCACTGGGCTGGGCAGGTGCATCTGCTGAGGAACTGGTATCAAGCAGTGCGTTCAGCTGTGGTGCTACCCACAAGAGCACTGGGAAGCATTTGGCCTTCAGACTGCCTGTGTTGGCCTAAGAGCCATTCCCGGCCATGGCTGCTCCCACTGCCAGGCAATCTTTGTAAAGATACTGTATTTTAGAAAATTTTATAAAGAATCCAGATACATTTACTTTCTGTTTGCATAGAAAAAAAAGCATAGTATTTGATTATCACAGAGACATGCAGCAAGTACAACAGTGCATGTGTACAGTGGGAAGGTTTACATGCTAATTCTTCAGTTATGCATTTATACCACTTCACTGAGGGACCCCTTATGATTTCACAAGTCCCCACAGCTTCCCAGCACCAGCCATTCATTAGACTGGTCTATAAAGACACATTGTCTCCACTTGAGTTATTTCAAACCTTTACCTTCATTCTGCAGGTATACCAAATAACCCTGGAAGCCATTTCCAAGTGTAATCAAGACGAGGTCCTGATAGGCAATGGGTGGAACATGAGTCTGCAGTGTGTATTTGTGGCAAAGAAAGCCAGCAGCATCCTGGGCTGCACTAGGCAGAGCCTTTCCAGCAGGTCAAAGGAGGTGATGCTTCCTCTCAACTCAGCACAAGTGAGACAAACCTGGAGTGCTGGGTCCTCTCCTGGGCTCCCCAGTGCAAGACATGGACATACTTGATTGAATCCAGCGAAAGGCCATGAAGAAGATGAAGGAATTGCAATATCTGACATAAGGAGAGAGTGGGAGAGCTGGGGTTGTTCAGCTCAGAGAAGAAGAGGCTCAGGGAGATCTTAATATATTTAGTTCCTGATGGAAGATGGAGCCACACACTTGTCAGTGGAGCCCAGTAACAGGATGAGCAGCACAAATTGACATACTGGAAATTCCATTTTTATATAGTAAAAACTTTTTTTTTTTACAGTGAAGGTGGTTAAAGACTGGGACAGTGTTTCCAAGGCAGCTGTGGAATCTCCACCCTTGGAGATATTCAGAACCCAGCAGGACACAGCCCTGAGCAACTTTCTCCAGTTGACCTTGCTTTAAACAGAGTGGTAACACCAGGTGGCCTCCAGAGGTTCCTGCAGGATTGAGCTCCCATATAGCTTCAAGTCAGTGAATCTACCAATCAGGTCCACACAAAATAAAGTTTTATACGCAGATAACTCAACCACAGGCACTTATCTACAAAAAGAGTGAAACTGAAATAGCTTGCCAATGGTGCCCTTCCCCTCTGTACTATAGAAATGAAATAATATTTTTAAATAATCTGCGTTCGGATTAACTGCATAGCTATTGGGAGTATGACAGTCAGTAGGTGGCACAAACGAGACAGTTTTTGGGGAGCCCCAGGCTCCCTCTATGCTGCCGGGGTACTGCTGGGTTCAGCCCTGCCCTCTCCGGGGGTTCCCGCAGGACTCCTCCGCGCCTTTGAAAGCGGCACCTAAGGGGAACTTTTAAAGACTCTTGCGGAGTCCCAGCTAGAGGGGCCTCACAGGGACAAAGTAAGGAGATCCAGAACGGGCCTGCTCTCCCGCTGGTCCCGGGTGCACCCACGGCCCAGACGCACTGAGCCCGGGCTCTGCTCCGCGCTGCAGCGGCCGCCGGGCATCGGGGGCGGGGGGCGCTGGACTGAGCTGGCCCGGAGCCAGAGAGAGCCCTTGGGAACCGCGCATGGGAAAGCAGAAGAAGAAACCCGAGACCTGGGGTGAGCCCGGTTACCACACACTTTCCCCAAAGCTGGACCAGTTAAAAAACATCATTAATTTTCCTGGATTTTTTTTTTAATAGGGTTTATGAATTTCGAATTAAAGACCGCTTTAAAACTTTTTGTAATTAAAAATATTTTTAAAATAAGTTTTTACTGAAACAGGCTTTTAATTCAGTATTTTAATTTTAATTTTTTAAATTAAGAATCCATAACTTTCCCCAGAATGAAAACTTACTGCAATGAAAAATCTTGTGAATAGCCTATTTTCAAAGAAAAAATTATTCAACATTTTTTTTACCACCTCTATTTATAAAAAGACCTACTGTTACTTTAAGCCCGATTTGGACATTGATCTCCTCTTTTAAGACCTCACAGTTTTCTCTTTTATATTATTAGAAAAGTCACTGCTTTAACATTTCAAAATACTACCTAAAAGAGAAACTGATGTTGAAAGATACTCTGTTCCTGCTACTGCCAGATGATATCCAGTTTCTTTTTAGCTTTAATTTTAACCTACATTGTACAGAATGCATCTATTTTATTTATGGCCTCAAATAATGGAGGGACTTTGAGTGATCACATGTGTGTTTATTTTCCATACACTAGAGGGGAACCTATACACAGAGGATTAAAAAAAAAAATCTTTGTCATAAAGCAAGGAAGTTTGTTAGCAAAGGCCACTGACAGAAATAGATATGGCTATAAGCCAACCTAGCCAGGATATAGAAGGTAAAATACACATACTATCCCCTCCAAATTCTCTTTTTAAAACCACAAGTTGTATAAGGAGCACTCTAATGCATCAAAACTTTAAAAATCCTAAACTAGTAACACTTTTTGGTGTTCAAGAAGTTTCATGGCACAGTTGCTCAGCTTTGTAGCATTGGTTTTTAACAACATACATTTAAAGTATCCTCCTCAAACTCCAGAAATGAGTGTGCAAAAATAAAAATATTACCCTTCGGAAGCAAAAAGCTGTGTGTCTGAACTCCTACCTCTCTTTTGTCTGGCATTGGGACTGGAATTCCTGTTTTTATTGTTAGATGCTTCCACGTTTGATGTCTCAGATTTGTTTTCATACAGACTTGATGATTTCCTGGTATACCTTTGGACAAAAGAAATACAAAAATAGTTATGTTCCTGCTTAATACCTAATTGAGCACTAAGCATTCTTTCATACCTTCAGATATGGAAGCCTAAGGAATAAAAGGCAGGTTTAAAAATTGTGTGCACTATAAATTCTGTATCTGTATAGGCAGATACGGTGGGAAAAGCCTTTCTAGCCCCCACCTCCTTTCCACACCACACAGTAAGGTATGTCCTTAGTGAGAGCTGGGAAGGGAAAAATGGAGAAACAAACTGGTTTAGTCTGCACAAGCTCTTTTTGCAAGTCTAACAGATTTGGAAGGAAGGGGTAGGAAACCAGGTTAGAAAATAAGAGCCTGGTTTTCCATCCTTTGCAGCATAAGTATATTTGACTCCAGGAGAGAAATGGATACTAGATGGTCACACAGATGTCATACCATGGGTAGAGGAACACTTGGATTCCACTGGCTCCATGATCTCCCAACTTCTGTTTCTTCCCTTTGAAAACAGGAATACAAGTGGGATATCCCTGTCTACAGCTGAACCACAGATGAGGGGATCCATCTTGCCAGATTTGCACTGGCTTTGCAATCTGCAATGGGAATGACCACCCTGCCCAGGTTTGTAGGGCACTTGAGCTGTAAGATTTTGTCATGGTCCTTCTCCTCATTGTTTTACAAATGTCTGGTGGTTTAATTTGAGTGTTTGACTGTTATCCTTGCCAGACTGAATGTTCCACACATTTCATTATGTCTACACACTTGAAATTTTTAATGCTCGTTATTAACATGTATCAGCAACAGCATTGCTGTTTACAATTAACATATGAACTGTTACACTTAACATATAGGGTTTTTCTTGCTGTGAGGGAAGGTCCAAGGTACCATTAAAAACTTTAAAACATTGGGAATACCAGAGATCTGTGAATACCTTTTATAACTACAAGGCATCCTGGGACTCATTGCTCTGTATTTGAACCTCTGACCTGTTTCTGATGGAACCTCTGTTACCTCCTGTGCTAAGTCAAAATGTGATTTTGCAGCCTGATGTCAGGTTCAAAACAGGGCTTAAACTAAATAAGGGAACAAATCCAAAGCACATTCACATTTCCTTCTTTTTTTTCCTCTGTTTCTTCCCAGCAAGGCTGAGATAACTGTGAAACACACAGCTGATAGAGTTAAAGATTTACAGCTGTGAGAAGGACACCGAGAAAACATAAGAGCTTCTCTGAAACAGCATCTGCAATAAAACTCCAAGTGTTTGTGTGTATCTGTGTGCGCAGGATATTTTTACATGGATGTATGACTGAATCAGTCATTTCCAAGAAAGCAGATGGTTAAGCAGTTAGAACAATTGTCTATTGAAGTTTCATATGTTTAAACAGATTAGAAAACAATACTAAGGGATCATTTCATTATCACTGAAATGCTGCAACTGTCCCTTGAGAGAGATACAGGAGCAATAGATACCACAAGGCATCTCATTTTAGGATTAAACTTTGAAACTTTGGGGAAGAATTTACAGAGAGAGAATTTAAATACATTGAACAGGACTTAGAGACATTCAGTAACCTCCTGTTTTAAGAGCACTGGGCTGAGTCAGCCCAGCCCTACCTTATCTGAAGGAATTGCAGCCCCGAGTGCTGCGGTGGCATATAAACAAGTAACGCCGATAAATCTTTGTCATTGACCAGATATGGCTTGGGATGGAGAGAGTGTCCTGAAAACAGATTCCCCTGTGTCACAGTACAGGTTTGATAATTCCCAATAAACAGTAGAGTCACTGTTATACATGTGCAACCCAGGAGAGGGTGTCTACTTGCTAGATAAAATCTCAATAATTAATAAACACAGACTATGCTCATGTGGGTGGCTATCACAAAGTATAGCTTCTTCCTTCCTCTCCTTGCCTCCACCCAACACTCCAAAACAGGCTGCAGAAAAGGCTCCACAGTCTGAGGAATTCTGGTTCCACTATTTCACATCCACTAGTGCAAAGCCACCTTGTTACAGTTCCCCTGTCCTCGCTTCTCCCAGAGACACACATTACAGAGGATCAAGGTGGCCTCAGTTTATAATAGCCAATAGGACACTGAACTTTGTTCCACTCAAGAAAACCCAGAGAGTTGTTCTTTCACGAGGACTTACCATATTCTTCCTGTCCCTAAAATAAGCCACCATTTGTACCAGAAGCATCTAACCTCTCCTTTTCTGGCATAGTTGGCAGACTGAGGACAAAAAGCACTTCAGTTTTCCTTTGTTTTAATCCACTCTAGGACAAATAGCTAATGTTTCTTCCTAGAGTTAATTAATTTTCTGTTAACATATTTTTGTCTACAATTTCTGCTCTGAAAACTCTCACTTCAAAAGCCTTATAAGAGGAATATACATCTGGATTAATTTGAAACATTTTTGTGATTGCATTTCATATTATACTGGAATAATTTTCTCCTACCTCCAAGGTAGTTTTGCCGAAAGATATTTCACTCTTGAGCCTTTTCAGCCTAAACCTTAAACAAAACAAATGTAACCAAGTCTAGAGAAAATATGGTGCAGGATTAACAGCACTGCATCTATTTAAAATGTCTTGCATTGAGTAGTACAACTCTCAAAGGCTGGCTCTGTTACCTGGGATCTCTTAGTTTGGTCAATTATGCTAAATCATGCTATCATGCTAAAGCATGATGCTAAATCATGCTAAAGCAATCATGCTTTTTACAGTGATATCCCAAGCCAACTTGCATTAAAGTTGCCTAGCAATTGGGTTATTACAAAAATTTGCTGATAGCTCCATTTAACATGCTGGAAATGCTCCAATACTTTTTGTCTAAACTTGAGTTAATCCAGAGCATGTGGTTCTTTTGCAAAGCTGAATGACCATCTTTGAAATGAATTCTGCATTGTGATTTTAGCTTCCCCATGAGCAAAACCTTGATCTGCATTTACACGTCTTTAAAGAATTTGAAGACAGTTGTGTAAGTTTGTACCCAGGAAATTAAACACAGAGAACTAAGAATTTATGTACTGCAAAAGCACAAAGGCAAGGCAAAACATGGCCCTGATTTGCCGTGATAGCTGTGGTTACCTGCTTGCATTGGAGGAATCCATCGGTGCATGGTATACACTTTCAGTGATTCTTTGGTGCAATTGACTTGCTTCTGTTAACAAAAAAAGTAAAATTTTTGCTTCAAATTATATACATTGCTTCCTTGTTTGCACAGAAGGTGGAGGAGAGACAGAAAAATAGGAGAGGAGAGATTTTAACTGCTGGCATTATGAAAATGGAATACTCATACTTGAAGAGAAAGGCATATGATTATCTTGAAGGCTGAAAACTTAGTTCACACAAACAGCTCTTCAACTCATATTTTTTCAGTGCAGAAGTGATTTCTTCCCCTACCACCTTCTCTTTCCTCTATACCTCTTCCCAGTGCTCACTGCAGCATACGATAGGGGGTGCATAAACACTAAGTGTTTAGACACACATGACCCATATGTTAAACTGTTTATCACATACCTTTGGCAATCCTCTTTGCCCCTTACTCATTCATCTCAGCTGGTTCCTTCCAACATTCCAACCCCCTGTGCAACTCCTAACAACAGTCATTAAAAACAGCCAGACAAACAAAAGTATGCCCCTTCCTTCTCTCACCACCACACAAAGTTGGAGAAATATCCAGTCTTGGATTAAGCACGAATTAAGGCCTCTTCTTTCATGAGTCATTGGAAATAGAAACAACTGTTTAAAACCACAGGACAAAGCATCTGCTTCCTGCTGTCAGCGTTGTAGTAAGGACTTTGATTTGTGTGATCATTTGGGAAAAGGCAATGGGAAGAGTTGCAATAGCATAAGATACAATTTCTTTCCTCTGACTGCTGTTCTGCTGGATTCACAATGAAGGAAAGCTTGACTTAGCTTATAGAGTAGGATGAAAGTCATCCTCAGATGTTCTCAAGACCAGACTGGATAAAGTCTTGAGTAGCCTGGTTTGACCAATAACTGACTCTGCTTTGAACAAGACGTTGCACTAGGATGTCCTGAGGTCCCTTGAAACCCAACATATTCTAGGATACTATGATCTTAAGACAAAACAATAAAGAATATAAAAATAGAAATGTTTTCAAGAACTTTCAGTCTTGATTCCTGCTTAGTTTTCTGCAGAAAGTGCATAGTAACTCTAGTATATAAGTCAAAGGTTTCACAAATGCTCATCTGGGTGACATACAAGCTTCATTTTCTTTGCCTAGAAACACGCATGGAGGATTAGCACTTAAACTCTACTTAAAGAGTTTGTAAGAACTCATTGTCTTTGTGAAACAGACAATTAAAATAAAGGTGACCTCTAAAGTTAAAGCATGGGCACAGGTTTTCACTTAGGACAAAACCTGCTTAGGAATCTGAAGGATGTGGGTGGAGAGGTTTGCTGGCATTGCTTTAAAGAGAGCTGTGTGTATGAGAGAAGCGGAAAATGACAGGTCAAGGTGAGAAGCAATGCCAGAGCCCAGGAAAAGTCTGTATTGGACACAGCTATGGTCTTTTTGTCCTAAGAAAGCCTGAAAAGTGGTTTTAGGACTCTATGCATTCTTGGTCTTAAATAGACTAGCATCTCAGATAGCCTTCATCACTATGTTCTCTTACTATCGGAAATAGCATAGCTGAATTTTGTCTGTCTTGGGTTCAATAACTTAAATAAAAAAGGGTGTCATTATTTTAGGTACTTATGAGCCTTCAATCATTCCTGTGTTGAACATGTCATAAATCATCTTCATAGTGACACCTCTGTGAGAGAGGGAAATGTCATTAATCATGTTTTACAGGGTGGTCGCTAAGATAAAAAGATATGTTTTAAATGTCAGTTATCCTAAGGCAGGCAACTAAATTTAAAATAAACACCCTCAAAAACCTAACAAAGCAAAACAAACATTAGGATGGAGAGGAACAGCTGCTGTGTCCTGCCGTGTATGTGGAATGAGATGTTGTGTCAGGTCTTGTGAGAAGGCATAAAATGAAGACTGGGACCACATCTCCTCACATGCTGATGTAATGGATGTTTCCAGGGTTGCTGCTTGAGAGGGAGAACAGAGGAAAATCATGTTCCTTGGACGAACTGTGAACAGAATAATTATTCATGCAATTTCTGCAACCACCCTCACATAGAAGATCGGGTTTTGCTGATTTCACTGGTGGTACTGGACAGCACTCATCCCAGTTTTGTGTTGTCACACACAACTACAAAAGGAAAGCAACACTACCAGATCTCACTCTGTGTCCTACCTCTACATGCTTCCAGTTGTCCTGTCAGGACTTTGCGAATCTCTGAAATCCAGGTGTTTTTCAGCTCAACAGAAGATGCCTGAGAACACAAGAGGAAGAGGCAAAGCAGATCTTGTTAAATCACGCTGCCAATCACTTGGCTGCCCTGACCTACATTTGCTCTCTGTTTTCCCAAGGAATGGAACACTGTGGCCAGCTTTGAGCAAAGCAGAGGACGCTCTTCAAGACGGAAAATTTACAATGAACCCAAGGTTCTATCCTTGCTTTTCTGTTCAGTGATTTTGCACTACTTTGTTTCCTCTTTTACACAGAGTCTTGACCACTTTCATAACAATAAACTGGTAATTTCAGTGCTAACACAACAATGAAGCTTCCAATGGCTAATGTTTATTGAGTGTACAGGACAGTGAAAGTCACGAAACTGAAAACTTTCTTAAAATTAATTCAATTGAAAGGAAGTATAGTTCCTGGAAAAAAAAGGATTGTTGTTACCTGAATGATATAGACCTCTTCTCTGCCATTATACCAGATCTCAAACTTCTTGTTATCCCCTTTTACATTTTCTGTAATGCCCACAGTGCTCATCTGTTTCAAAATAGAAAAGAAGCAGCTGGAATCTTGGAAAATTTCAATAGTCTTTAAACTACCCTCCAAAAAGTGTTTTTAAAAGGCTGCATTCACATCTGTATCTTAGGAAGTCATTAAAAGAAAAATTCAGAACATGTTATTTCTTAACATCTAATTTATCATTCATATTTTTGATTGTTAAATGAAAGATTTTTTTTTAAAAGTGCTCAAAAGTAACACAAGCTAATGTCTGATCATGTGTTTATCCTCTCTACTTTTTTTGCTTGAGCTGTGGATCAGTTTTCAACCCTATCCTGGCTCTTGTCCACCTATACAAATTTTCATTTGAGGAAGATGGTATTTTCAACTTGCCATCGCGGACCTGTTGAGGTGGGAGAGGAAGAGGGAAGGGATGAGGCTTTGTGAGATTTAACGTCTCATTTGCAAATCCAGACAACAAAAAATTCAATATACTTTCAGAAAAATTTAAAAAAAAAACAAAAGAGGTGAGCAAGGAGCTAAGTGCTTAATTCGGCAGAATGAACAAGGAACTGAAGAAAAAGAAGAAATCTAGATTTCTTAGATGATAGATTCTTAACCACAGTTTTGAAGTCCAGCTGCTGCTATACTTACCAGCTTCCTGTCTTCTTCCATTGCTCATACCCCTTGTTCTGATTTACCTCAGCATTAGATTTGAAGATTTAAACAGCTTTGATTATATCATCATTCCTACTATCTCCACAGAAAGAAAATTCAAAGATTGATATGAATTGGTTCCCTCTTTGCAGCAGGTTCTGTTACAATTCCTGAATGGTTACCCTGCAATAAGTTTGCAGCATTACACTTCGTGACCCATGTTAGTTGTCTGAAGTCACAAGTGTCACATCAATGTGCTTAAAGGGAAAATTTGGCCTACTTGTGAATCTCATCTTAACAGAAAATGTCCTGACTCATATCTGGAAATGTCACTCTTGCAAATAAAAGGGTACTTCTACTGCACTGTGATTCATCTGTAGCTATTATTGTCACAGAATGCATCTGCTTAACTGATGTCAATAGTAAAACTCAAAATAGAACCAAACTTGAAGGATGCCTATAGGCATAACAATAAGAGGTGCAGGTCCATTCAAGTCTTGCTTCTCTTTAAGGGATGCTGGGCAAGAACACACAAGGTGCCAGTTTGTATTGAGCTGCAAAATCAAGGTTCATGTCTGGACCTGCAGGACACACGGCTGGGTCTGTCTCCAGATCAAAACTAAATACTCAGTGAGGCAAGATAGCTCCAGATATTTGTACCTTCAAGTCTCCACATGGAAACATCCCTGTGTTGTGAGAACAACTTATTTTTCTCTCCCCCACTATTACCCCATTTATTACCTTTAATGAATTTTTAAAGCTGTATGAAGCAGTCTTCTCATGGCCATCTGTGTTCTCCTCCCGTTTCTTGCAGAAAAGTAGCATCTTTGTATAGAGGAAGAGGTGTCTCTGCATTGGTTTGAATCTAGCCAAATCCTTCACCTTGTTGTGACCCTTCTTGTGGTCGGTCCACACATTGAAGGAACCTTGCATCAACAGCTTGCCAAGCTCACCAACATCCCCCTAGCAAGAAAGGGAAAGTCTCCATCACGTTCAAACTAGGACAATCCCAGGCACGGTTCTTTCCTCTAGTGACTCATGATTTCAATGGAACGTCAGCAGAGAGATACATACATTCATGGCCTTTGATTTGTACTGTGGTTGTTATTTCATGTTTCAGATAACACCCTTGCCAGCCACTGGGATGGATTCTATTACCCACTTTAAATGGAAGCCAAATTTTCCTCCTTAAGTACAAAAGATTTGGAAAGATTTGAGTTGCATAGAGGACACAAAGTTACAAATTTCTTAAGTTATATTTGTCACACTTTCTACCTCTCACCTACAAATGAGGTTTGGGTGTGATTACTCAGAAGGACTGTATTCGTCCCACTTCCTCCCCACATTCACCCCCCCACCTCTTCCTGACAGGCACATTCACATGTATTTTTGATCACCACAACATGCTACCCTTTAAGAATGTGGCACAGGCTCCTGCAAAGCCACAGGCCAAGCATGATCAACGATGAGAGGAACACTGTATGGGCCAAGACCAGCGTAAAGCAACAGCAAATAATACCTCATATCCTGTAATTGCTATCTGGTGCATGGAGTCATTTACTGATTTGATGATATCAAGCACTGTGGCCAGGGCTTCTTCCAATTCAGCAGTACCCTCTGAATTCTTGCTGCACTTCAGCATTTCCTGATAAAAAAAAATAAATTTGAAAACTTCTTATGGTGGCCACCGTAAGTCAATCCTTCCTGAAATCTGTGCTGCATAGATAAAGTAGCAGAACTACAGGGGAAAAAAAAACTCCAAAAAACCCAAACCCCAAACCAAAACAACCACACCAAAAAACCAACAGGACATGCACCAGGATTATCAATGGGGACATACGTACATATTGACCTTCTGAACATTTTCAAGTTTTATAGGTTCATTTAAGACAAGACAGGACCATTGTGATATATTTACAATGAACTTTTTGCAAGTCACAGAATTACATCCAGGGTTATTTTTACATCGCATCTGCTAGAAATGAAACTTTATCTTAATATAATGACTTCAAGTGTGCAGAAATTCACCATTTCCCTTTACAATTTGTTCCACATGGTACTTATTACCAATGTTAAAAATATAAATTAATTTATAGTCCACATCTGGCAGGCTTGACGTTCCACTCATCAGGTCTTACAAGCTCTTGTCAGACAAAGAAGTTCTGCGTGGGAAGAAATCACTTCCTGTGTAGATTCTTGTAGACTTATGGTCAAATCAGCTCACATATCTCTCTTCCTTAAATTAAATGAGACTTCTTTAATCTATAAGACAGGTTTTTCAGCTATTCATTTTTTGTGGGGGGGGAAATAAGCCAGATTACTGTAGCTCTCCCCCATCTCTTATTCCCTACCTCACACTACAGTATACAGTTCTACACTTGCAAATTGGAAAATCTCTTTTGAGAGAGTAATTTTGAAGAACGGTGCTGACCTCTAGCAAAAATTCATTAAACATTACATTCTCCTTGAAAAAAGGGAAGTTATTCCATTTTCCAACCCTTACACACAAGGAACAGGAGACAAAGTTCTGGGCAAGTTCGGCAGTATGTGCCCAAAGTAAAGAACAAACAAAACATTTTGAGGGCTCAATTTCTGTAATCACTTCAGATACAGAGATTCTGTTTAGAGTTACAAAAATTTAGGGCAAACTACTTACATAGACAAGTACAGTTCCTTACAAGGATGACTGCTCTTATTTCTAGATGTGTTTTGTGCTTGAAAAGTTCTAGTCATAGCTCAGAACTTCATTATTTTCTTGTAACCAATGGTTATAACCTATGCATATCCTGAAAGACACTAAAATCTTCATTTTACAGGAAATTAATTTCCATGTCCCTTGCTCTGCTGCCTACAGAGAAGCCCTGAACCTGACTCAGATGCACAGATTGGTTTTTTCCCCACTGTATTGTATAGAAAGCAGTTACTGCCAGTGAGTATCCACATGAGATGCAAACCAGACTCTATATCTTTGCTAAAAGCATTTAGGGAAGAAAAGGTCAACAGATACAAACCCACATATGGCTGGTATAGTCTTGAGAAGACATGAATCTCAAAGCAGATGAAAGATCCCAAGACTACGCCATAGAATTTGAAACCTAAGCCAATCAGGATTCCTACCATTAAACTGAAAAAAGAAGACTACTTCAACCAAAAGTAGTAAGATAACTGATTACTATCACATATAGTGACCTGTAATTTTGATGCTTGGAATTTGCATCCATTAATCAGCTGAAAGAATAAGTTTATTGGTTGTTAATGAGACAATAATTCCAGTGGCAGAATTCATAACCAAATAACCATTTTATTCATTGTTATTGACTTGTCCTTGCCCTATGTATGTACCAGTGGAATGAAAGGAGTGTTTGGCAGGATGCAATTTTCACTTCAGAAATGCAAGCTGGGAAGAAACTAAGAAATAAATTATTGAAATAACAGCACCTCACTAAGAACTGTACAGTGAGTTTAGTCTTGTTTTCTTATACTGATTACAATGTTAACAGGAACTGTGTGTTAGAAACACACCTATGAATGAATCAAGACTCTACTAAATTCAGTAATAGTTATTTTGGTAAGAAATAGATCCCTTCAGCAGGCATGGCCATTGACACGGCTCTCATTCAGGTATTTAATTTTCAGCCACATTGAATTTTGAAATAACTTAATCCAAAATCTGAGGCACTTGTGGTTCCTGTAAAACAAAGCTGCAAAAAGGTCGTTCTTGCAAACCCCAAACAGCAGCCAGAGGGTTGCAATAATTGTGACCCAGAATTTAAAACTAGTCTGCCCATCACTCAAGACACACAGCTTCTAAGGCACTTGTTTGTTGCCTATTTTTCACTGACTCTCCTTTTCCTATACTTTTAAATGCTCC